CTCATGCCCTTTGGCTCTTTTCTGTGGTTTTAGCTTGCATTTATTTCCAGTAACTAACTCCTTTCTTTTCCCAGGGTTGTTGCACTGGCCTAATATAGTGTCTCCATCAAGCAAACAATATGATCATACGCTATATAACACTGGCATTTTGAAGGAGACTACTCATATGCCTAAATTTATACTTATATTTAAACATTTCAGCAGACTGGGAAAAACTTCATAAGAAGACTTGGGAACACTTATGTCCTTTCACGTGTGACATTAAAAAGGGATTATTACGCAAGCAGCTAACAATGGGGTTTTTTTATGTCCTGCTTTGTGATGATTCCGAGAGATGTTTAGCTCTTGTCTGAAGGAGGATTATAGCAGGTTTCAGTTGCTACTATAGTATTTAAGATTTGACAGGGTCTGTAAGTGGTCTGTCTTGGGGGATACCTTCTTATAAAAGACTCCTACTTGTTGTGAGCAAGTACTTCTTTTCTGGTTTGTTTTGCATGAAAAGCTATCAAATATGTGCATGTTGAAAGTATTTGTCCAGTTTAAAGGTGCATCACAACTTCATCATTTTTCTGGAAAAGAAGCTACCTCAGCATCCATACAGGTTCCTTGGTGTTGCAGAAGGGCCATTTGTATCTGCAGGAAAGGGTAAAAGGTGTCATTGTGATATTTCAGCAACACAAATAAGTTGTTTATTTTACAGGAGGTGGCATCACGTGTAGCATAGAGCTGCCCTGAGAAACTGCTAAGAAATGAACACGTTTTCTGTTGCAAATGCAAAATCTGATAGAGGACATCTTCATCAGCATCCTTCTCATATGCAATGTGTGCAACTGAAATTTGTAAACTTTCTAGAAATGCTGTGGTACGCACTGAAACACCTGCTTGCTTATCACAATGGAGAAGTTGCAAAAATCCGTGCTGGAATCAAGCCAACAGAGGGGGAAAAATATCTCCCCCTGCTGCAATTCTTGATGTGTTTAGCTTTCAGAAACACCGCTTCATCAAGATAAAACCTTTTGGAAGAATAAGTCATAGTACATTTTAATCAGCCTTTTCACACAGTGCCCTAGAGGCGTTGAATTTGTTTGTTTGCTTGCTTTAGTCTTTTCGGGAGTAAACAACCCAATTTACCTTACCTGGAACTGTCTGTGGGGGGTAGTAGGCCTGGCACAGCTTGCTGAAGAATGTGGTATGACCCGCTGCAGTCGTGTTGTGCTGGAGACATCTGGTTTTGGAGCTTTAAAAAGAACAGGGTGGGACACACAAATATTTCGTTGTCAAATCTGAACCAGATGGGAGGTAAAATATGTAGCAGAGTTCTCGTAAAATTCATCTGAAATTAAATGGTGTAGGAAACCAGACAAGGCACTTATTAGAAATGGCCTTTTTTTACAGGCTGACTTTGCACAGTAGGAATTTGCAAATGCATTAGAGATGCTAACGATTTGTGGCCTCTGGAGATCCATTTCCTGTACTATTACTAACCATACTGAAGTTTTCAAGGAAACACCTGTTTATATTGTCTCCCTGTTCCCTCTGTTGGTTGAATTAGTTTTCTCTGCCTTGGCAGTGAAAAACACTCTGTGATACAGCCTTATAAAAGTTTTTCCTCTCCGTTTAAATCCTTGTTAGGATTCTGTGGGCTTTGTGCAGAATGTGCTGCATCCCAAATCTCCTGGGTAGGTAACCTCTCCCGATCCTAGCAAGACGTGTCCAGAGACACAGAGAAGCCTAAACTGTTAAGTTATGAGAGTAGTTTTTGTCTGTAGTTTGGTTACACTGCACTTCTAGCGCTCTTGGAAGACTTTTTCCATCTCTGGTTTATGGTGAGGTGTTAGAGGATGTTTAGAGAGAATTGAAAATAAGAAATTAGGGGCTGATTGGACTGACTATAAAGAAAAAGGGAGGCATTCACTGTAACTGATTCTAAAGAATAGATAATCAAGCTGCAGAAGAAAAGATGGTAGAAAGTTAGAAGTGTCACGGTGACTTTTGACTAGGAAAAATGATTGAGATGGGAAAAACTTCTGCAAATCAGAAAGGCTTTTGGTAGAGAATTCTCCTTCACCGAGTTAGTCGTATGGGAGAAGCTCCAGCAACCCACCACTTGACATCTTTAAAAAAACCCTGACGTTTCACGGATTAATGTGCAGCGAGGAGCAGTCGTGCACCGGAAGAGGTGAACTACGTGATGCACGGAGCCTTTTCCGCTGCTCTGTGGTTCTAATTAGCGCTTGCTTCCACGAGTGGGTTACGACTTTTTTTTTTTTTTTTCTCCTTACTTTTGAAAGATGTTGTTATGACTGCAGGAGAGACTGTGCTGAAGCGAGACCCGCAGGACTGGTCCAGATACAGCAGCGTGTGAGGAGGAAAGTTTGCCTCGCAGTAATCCCTTGCCTGGACAAAGCTTGAGAGGCTTTACAAATTGCACAGCTGCAAAGAGTTATGGGTATTTGTTATCCCTTGGTATCCTGACCATGTAAAACCTAATTCTTCTGGCCATTAGAGGTTGCCAAGAGGGAAATGGCTTGGTAATTAGACTTGAAAGTGATGAATGAACGTGGCTCTGTGTAAATGCAGCACAGACAGTCTGTTTGCTGAACTTAAGAAATCTATGTGCTTTGGAAATGGGACATTGTTTATATAAGAAGGATTTTTAGGATTTTTGGGCAAGAGACATATTTGTTCCTTTTCTTGTTTTTCAGAAGCAAAGTATTTTCCCCTTTAACTGCAAATCTTTGTAATGTAAGATGGGAAATGTTGTAGACTGATGTGAAAGACACTGATGAATTCCACTTTCAAAGGGGAAAAAAAAGACAGACAAGGGACAAAATCAGTACCTTGCATTTGACTTGTGGAGGCCAAAACATGTTGGTAGATGAATAATGCTAACCTTTTCAGAGTGAGGGTAGAAGTGACAAAGTGAAGGGACTTTGGTACCAGTCTCCAGAAACTACAATATGATGATGCTTTTCCAGGGAGGTATGTTATCCTGGATGCTGGGGGGAGAATAGATACATCCCTAAGCCACAATTTAAAATGCTCAGAACTTCTGAAAGACGTACTGTTTTCACTTCAGCCATTAACTTTTGAGACCCCCAGGCTTCTAAATGAAGCTGTGAAGAACGGCAGCTTCTCTTCTGTACTGTGCTACCTCTGCTTTTTACAGGGATTGTGATAAATCTTCTGGTTTTAAACTAAGCTGTCTGTCTTTCTGGAATACTTTAGCACATCTTTGTACTGTACACTTCAGCACATGTTACACTGTACACTTGAACATACCGTCGCATTTTTTGTAGCTATGCAAATTTGCTGGTGTAATCGGCAGCCTCTGTCATGAAGGAGGTCAGTGTATTGCATCCTAGCAATGAAACCTACGGGCAGGGATAGAGCAAAGTCACATTAGGTAGGATAGAAGTTCTCAGCAGAAAACCACCTTGCCCAGGGTAAATTACCAGTAGTAGAGCTGGAGGAGGTATTGTCACCCTAACATTACCCATGCAAAGGCAAAAGAAAGTGAGCAAAGAATACACAGAAATGGAGTTTCCCTGTGCCATACTTGTGTTGTGAGGGACCCGATTCTAGCAGCTGACTTGGGCAAGGAGCTTTGTGTTTCTGCCTTACGTTGGCACTGGTTGTCTCTGAATTGGGGAACATCAGCTGATTCCCTGCAATATCTGAGCTGTGTTTGGATGTGATAGAGTGTTGAGGCATTCAAAATTTTTGTGACTGCTGTCTGAATTCTTTAAAGTTTTGGAGTTTTTGGTATCCAAATAGAAATATTGTCTGGGAAGAAAGCGGCATGTCCAGTGCCAGCTTTCTATTTCAGGCGTAGCAAGGAGTGGTGAAAAAGTAAAGTTCTGAAATGATTTAATCATATAGTAAAGCTTGTAATTTGCTTTGGAATAGCATTTTTAACAAATAACATTACCCACAGGTTGTATGTATATATGATAAATGTCTGCAGTCCCTTTAATTTTAAAACAAACTCGCTAACGCTTCTTGTCTAGCAAGAATCCCTTGTCACAATGTGTTTTAAATCTCTGTTTCTTCCTTTTTGTTTAAAAACCCCAATAATTTGTAACTTTGCCAGCCTGTATTATAATTCGGACATTTGAAGTCAGTAGAGACTTTCATTGGCATCAGTGGAAGCAAGACTGGATCTGTAAACCCTTTTCTTGAAGTCGTTCAAGTGGATGGATAAATGTACAGGGTTTAGAGGGACTAATCAAGTCTGTTAGTGTAGGTAAGCTTGTTCTGCAGTGCTTGGGAGTGCTGTGGCAAAGTTGACCTGCAGCAAGATACTTCAGCCAAAGACATGAATTTGAACCTCTGTCTGGATTCCTGCCAGAGGCCCAGTTGAAACAGATACCAGGATTAGAGGGATCAGAAGTGGGCATAGGTGGTGACCACTTCAATTCCCGGTGTGGCGTTGGCTATGGAAAAATGTCAGCTTACCCACACGAAATGGGCCCAGGCAGGCTACAACTGCCTGTGAGGTTAGGACTATAACGATTACAGGTCTTTTGAATTTTAAATGAAATACAAGGGGAACATAATTGTAAACAAAACTTATAAATAAAACTTATGCCAGATGAAAGTGAACCTCTTATACTTAAATATTGTTGTAATGAGATGAAAACCAGTCTAGTTAGTTACTTCTAGGTCTGTAATACTTCCAACTTAAACTGTACTTGCTTCTCTGGTAGACATGATTGATTACAGTTTTCAACTTGATTAAAT